TTTTTTTTTAAATATTCAGATCTTTGACCCATTTCAATTTTAGTTCATGATGACAGATATGGGTCTAGGTTCACTTTTCAGCATGTGGAAAGCCAGTTTTCCCAGGATCATTTACTAAAGAGGCTTTCTTTCAGTGAAGGTGTTTGGCCTCTTTGTCAAAGACAACCACCATTGTTACCTATCAGGATACAAACCTGGAGTGGCCAGTGGGCATGATGCCACCTGTTGGAGTTTGCCTGAGAAAGAGGCCACTCAGAGCAGGATGAAATTATTCCTGATGACAGTATCAGAATCTGGATTTAGCTATCACTGTGTTTGGAGTTTTCATCAGGTAAATCAACACATTTCCTTTTTCAGTTAATCACTTTGATTTGATTTTCTTGATTTTTTTTTCTTGAAGTTATAATGAGAGTCTAACACTTTTGGAATACGGTAAAATTCTTTTTTTTCTTTTATACAGGACCTCGCTATATAGTCCAGGCTAGCTTTCAACTCACTACGTAGCCCAAGGTGGCCTTGAACTTGTGATCCTCCTGCCTCAGCTTCCTGAGCACTGGGATTACAAGCATGCACCACCATGCCCAGCTTGAATAGGGTAAAATTCTGAACAGCATGGGGAAGCTTGGAAACACAAATGAAGCCTTGAGCTCTGCCCAGTGTGTTCTGTGGGTGTGGTGCTGCCCTGGCCTGAATGGCTGCCTGCTTCATGAGAGCATGCCACTGCCAGGGTATGTGCAGCACCAGCTGAGGTCTCCAAACTGGCTCCAGTTTGGAAAGGGCTCTAACCTGGGAGTATAGGAAAATGAGTTTTACTCTCCATTTTGCTACTTTTTAGAGGCAAGGATCCAGGCCACTCACCACAGCCGTCTAAGCCTTGTTCCTTTCCTAAGTGGAACACCACTGTCAAGCTCCAGATGTCACTGTGCACACCAAATACGAGTTTCCCTTTCTCCAACTTTTTCATACTCCTGGCTTAGTTCCTGCCTTCCAGGGACTCCCAGTACCCCATATAACCCTCTAGTCCACTAGCACAAAGATCTTTAGTGTGAGCTCCTGTAAGGACAGGAAAGGACAGCTTTTGGTGTGCCCATACCAACATTGCTGGTCACACAGCTTGCAGGGACTCCTGAATCCAAAGAGGTCCTGCAGGCCAGGGACCCATGGTAGGGCAGCCTGTTCGTGCCTTAGCCTGTTACTTCCTCGCTGGTAATCAGGGAAAATGCTCTGGGATAGACTGCCGAGGCCATGTGAGCTTGGAAGCTGAAGGCTGAGAACCTGTCCTGGTGGCCACGCAGGACCTCCCACTGCTGGCTAGGAGGTTCCTGCTAGGAGAACAGGAGCTTAGGCTGTGTAGTCTGGCTGTCTGCAACAAAGGTTGGACAAAGGGCTCCCAAGGGCATGATACCCTATTCCCCTCACTTCTGCCTTGGAAAAGGCTCTTCCAAGAACCATCAGGTCTGTGATAAAGAGCTAAGCAGGAAAGGGATGTTTTTCTGTATGTACCTTCATCTATTCATTCAACAAACGCTTCACAACACAGCAGTTGAACCACTCTGAAGGGATCAGCTTGAAGAGTGCCACACTGAACGCAGCCTCCACACTGACCGTCTCCTGTCCTCCTTCCTGATTCCTTCTCCACAAAGCAGCCAGAATAATTCTCAGGCATACAGCAGACCCCTAGGGTAAATCCTTCAAAGACCCCCAGAAAGCCCCAGTGGTGGTGAACTTACGGCACGAATGCCACAAAGGGCTGTTTATTATCACTGAAAGCTCTACAAGGATTGCCATCACTTCTCTAGGTGAAATGGAGGATGGACAAGTGGAGCTGTGTTGAATTTAGGGTTCTAGGGAGGCTTTTATTGGGTTGTCAAGCAACCTTTGTCCCAATTCCTAAGATCAGCACTAAGAGCCCTGCAAACCTAAGCACGAGCAGAGAGGGTGTCACAGTTCCTACTTCTGAGGGGAATATGGTCCCATGACCCCCATCTGTTAAGCTTCAATCCGGCTCATGGAAGATGGTCTTTATTTGGATAATCTGGTGATCAAGAGACAAAGAGCATAAGTGCACAGGCACACGTACACACACATACACAATATGTAAAGCGTTTCACAGGTGAAGGGTCTAGACCGTGGGAGAGAGGCCATGACAGCAGCTGGAGGCTTCTTTGACCCAAAGAGGAGCCTCAGATGACATTCCCTGGAATTCTTGCTCAAAAGCTACATGAGAAAACTGCTCTTCCAGTGAAGTACCGGGCCAGAGAACAGTGGGATTAAAATCTGGGTTTGGGGTCCAGGAAACATTTGTTTGTTCACTGTAGAGGCTTTTTTGAGACAGGATCTCACTATGTAGTTTAGACTGTCCTTGAGCTCTCTATGTAGCCCACACTGGCCTTAAAATTGCAGCAATCCTCTTGCTTCGGCCTCTCAAGGGCTGGGATTATAAACCTGTGCCACAGGTATGCCCAGCTCTTCACTGTAAAAATTTGCACCAGCTGTTTCTTTCCCTGGGGCCCCTCTGGCTCCTTGTACCCAGGAATTTCTCTGTGGATGGTAAGTGAGGGATAGCACCACAGCAACCTGGGCAGGGGGGTCCACTGCACAAGGGGAACGAAAGGCTTATTAGGGCTGAAGGGCAGCAATAAACCTCTCAGCTGGCTGGCATCAGGCAGTTTGCATTTAAGGGCATAGAACCATAAAGAAAGTGGCAGGTGGGGGACCTTCCCACATGACCCTGGGCCAGAGCACCTCTGATGGAGGAGGGGCAAGGTCCCCACTGGGGCTTCCTAGGATCTTACTGGGCATCGAGGCCTCTTCCAGCTCCAGTTTGTCCTTAGCTGTTACAGATCCTTAGCACCATTCAGGGACCGTGGTGATGGCAGGAGGGACAGGAATGCTCTGCCAGAACTGTGCACATCACAGTTAGAAGAACTGTACAACCGGCCAGCATCTGGTCTAAGGCTCAGGAAAGCCCGTACTTTCCGGAGGGTGAGGGAGTGTGATGTAAGCTCGATCTCCCATGTGGTAGCTACTTCCATCTACTATTTCCTTCCTTGGCAAAGTCTGCATGAAGTTCCAGCTTCCACAGGAGATACTTGGAGCCCTGGGGCAATTCTGGTCCTCAGCTGCAGTTTTTGCACAAAACTGACCTGGAGAGGAAAACAGGCACTGGGGCCACAGAACATGTAGCCCAGAGGGGCTGGAGAAGGAGGCAGGCCATTCTCCAACTACTACTCCCATCCTCTCAATCCCCCTGCCTCCCTGTAACGACCTGCAGGGCCCACAGCACAGGGAACAGCAGGAGGGGATTTGCCTCGGCCAATGACAGGCTCAGGCTACAGTCACAGGAAGCTGACTCATGGCTGGTCCTACATGAGCTGCTGGACAGAGACACCTTCAGTCTTCCAAGGTGCTGGAGTCTTTCTGAATGAGTTGATTCTGCACTGGAATCTGGCCCAAGGGTGATACTGCTGTTTTTGGTGACCTGTAACTCAAGAAGGAACAAAGGCACTGTGTCAGTGAATGGCACACTTGTAATGCTGTGCTAAATAGCTTATCCTCATGCTAGTAAAGTTCTCCTGGTACCCTGGAACAGTAAGTAGGACAGCATTCTTTTCCTGAGGTCCACTGCCAGGCACGATACTGGTGTTTTGCTTCCACTATCCCTTTTCATCCTTGTGCCGATTCTACATGCTACAGAATAGCATCCGCATTTCACATACAAGGAAATTAAAGTTCAGAAAGTTTACTTATTTATTTTTTGTCTTTTTGAAACAGGCTCTTGCTATGCAGTTCAGGCTCACCTTGAGCTCACTTTGTAGCCCAGGCTGGTCTTGAACTTGCAATAATCCTGCCTCAGCCTCGTGAGTGCTGGGATTACAGGAGTGCGCCACCATGCCCAGCCTTCAGAAGATTTAAATGGCCCAAAGTAAGCTTTTAAGTGGTAGATTCAGGACTGCAGCCCATACCTTTCTACTGTACCAAACTATTTACTCTGTCCACAGGGCCCTGGATGACCTGGATACTACTTAATTTACCTGTCTCATTCTGTACCATCTTCCCACTAACAGTCAATCTAACATGACTCTCCAGGTGGCATATGGTGGCCCACACCTGTAATCCCAGCACTCTGGGAGGCTGAGGTAGGAGGATCATAAATTCAAACCCGGCCTGAGCAACTTAATGTCTTAGCAAGACCCTGTCTCAAAATAACAAAAAAGGCTGGGCACTCAGCACAGTGAGAAGGCCCTGTGTGCACTCCCCAGTACTGGAAAAAACAAAATAATCAAAAACACCAACTGGCTTTTCTTTCACACTGGAATCTATTCTGGGTCTCCAACATCACCTGACATTGTCTCATTGTTTATGGATTTGTTTAGGGTCAGCTTCTACCTCTAGAGGGAAGATCCAAAGGAGCAGGGATAATACCGCTTTTGGTTCCGAATATAGCCCCAGTGTGCCAAAAACAGGGCCTGGTATGTAATAGGTACTGAATAAATGTATGTTGAATAAATGGAAGTTTATATGTAGTAAATACACTTATTAGCACTATCACTTCACACATGATCTCTAACCATCACACAGCCTGTCAGGTTGGGGTAATCAGTTCCATTTGATAGTGGAGCAAAGTAAATGAGGACTGGAATCAAGTGGATATAAATCCTTGGTCTAACTCCAACTAACCATACCATTTTTTTTTTTTTTTTTGGTGCTGGGACTCAAACTAAGGACCTTGTGTTTGCCAGGCAGGCACGTGTGCCACTGAGCTATATATCTGCAGCCCCCGAACCATTCCACTTTGGGCTAATCACTTAACATGACATTAGGCTTCGTTCTGTTGTAAAAGGAGGATGTCCCAATTTAGAGCTGTTGGTGAGAAGTTAATGATATCACACTATTGATTTATTCAACAAATTATAATTTTAATCTTATAGAATAAACAGAAGAAGAAGAAGGCTCAGAGAAGTTTACTGACTTCCCCAAGGTTATAGAGCTAGAAGTTTAGGATGAGAACGATAAACAGCACTAGTGGTTCAAAGCAGGGCAGGTCTCTGGTTGGCTCGAGGTTGTCTACTAAAATTGTCACTCGCCAGACCTCAAGGCAGGTATGCTGAAAGGCTATGTGAAAGCCAGGCTGGGATGCTGGGGCTTGCCTCAAATCTTTACCTAAGAGGAGCCTGAGAGTTCTCCAGTTACCCACAGATTTGCTCGATCCTGGGATAGGAGACTCCAGGCAGAGTAGAGAGAACCAAAGATATTTTTTACTCCATCATTCTGTATCGTTATCACTTTCTCTTTTAAACACAGAGTGCGTGTCATCCTCGCACACGGCCTGTGCTAATCTCTGTATCACTCCAATTTCAGTACACATGCTGCTGAAGCAAGCAGATGTTTCTCATTCTCCTTTTTTTTGTGGTCCTAGGGACTAAATGCTGCTACACAAGCACTCTATTACTGAGCTACATCTCCAGCCCTGTACTCCTTTTAACTCATTAGAATCAACTACCAAATTCAAAGCAATCATTCAGCAATCTTGGTGGCCCAACACTTTGTTTCCTCAGCTGTAACATGGGGACAGTGACACCCATCTCGGAAGGCTATCCTGTGACACAGCACTCACATTATACATTTCCTTTTATTTACTTACTTACTTATTTATTTATTTATTTTTTTCCGGTACCGGGAATCGAACTCATGACCTTGTGCTTGCCAGGCAGGTGCTATGCCGCTGAGCTAAATCCCCAGCCCCCACATTTCCTTTTAGAGAGGAGAGGACAGAGCCCAGGGCCCTTCTGGCTGAGCCTTATCTTCTTCATGTCACACAGTGACACAACTTCTTCTCAGCATGATATCCTGGGATGAGTATGAGGTAAGCCGGACGGGCACTGGTTTGAATCAAGCCCTCTCTCCGAGTATATCACTTAGAATGCTTGTTGCCTGCATCTGTAAAATGAGCAATAATCTCCTGCTCAGAGACTGTCAGGGTTGTTGTGAGGATAACTTGAGAGAATTTACTGAACATATTACAATAGAAGAGAGCCTTGATGAACATTACATACTTCCAAGATTAATTAATTTATTTTTGGTTTTCTGAGACAGAGTCTCACTATGTACCTCAGGCTGACCTTGAACTTAATATGTAGCTGAGGCTGGTCCTAAACTCCCAGTGATCTTCCTGCCTCAGCCTCCTGAGTGCTGGGATTACAGGTGTGTGCCATCATGCCCGGCAAGATTATTATTTATATGTTCACTGTTTCTCTTCACATTATAACTTTTATTAAGCTTGTTTCTTCCCATCAGAATGTAAGGTCATGAGGGCAGTGACTGGGTCTGTCTTGGCCAGTACTTAGAAGGCAGTCAATAAACAATTGCTCAAAAACCCTGGTGTTTGGTAATAACCTGTAGAGGGAGCTCCTGCTACAGAGTAGCTGGCAGTGAAAACCGGGTTTCAGGCCTCTTGGGGATGGCTGGGGTGTAGAGATCCCTGCTTCCTTAGTCAGACTGGTACAAGCCAGGATATCCAAGTACTATTAGGGAGCCATAAAGGAAATCATCTATGCTTTGCTTCTAAAGCACTCAGCCCAGGTGTTCAAAGCCTGAGGAAGCCGACGGGAGAAAAATTTAGAGACACTTAAAATTATAGACGAAACACTTTTCTTTTAACTCACTGATCTATTAACTGAGAAAAGGCTACCAGGGTTCCATGCGGGCCAGAGACTATCTGGCTTTGTTCTGACTCTGAAGTCCTGAGCTCCTGCTGGAGCCCCTTGAATTTCAAAGAATGGTTACTCACTGGTTCTTGTGCTTGAAGCCACTGATGTGAGCCTGGTACTGTTCTATGGAGTTCAGCACTATCTTACACGTCTTGCAGGGGTAGCCCTTCCCAGCTGAAACACACATCAAAATCAAGATACGCAGTTATTGAACTGGAAGGGACCGGGCCTGCCGCTTTGCACGGAGTGTGCAGTGCTCTTCTCAGGACCGACAGCGGGACTGGTTGATGGCCCTGATGAGAATCCCAGGTGTCAGCACTCAGGAGGCACAGACTGTAACTGGGTGTTCCTTGGGGATGGGGAGCTCCTCATTCTCCTATGTCCTCAGTACTAGCAAAGAGCTTACCTAGATTGTCTGCTGAGTAAATAAAATGACAGAACAAGGAGGTGACATTTGGTGCGATTGTCTTTCCTACCTTGAGTGGCCTCATTAAGGACACCCTTCACGGGGAGATTACTGGGGAGGTGCCACTCTCCCTGAGCTTGCAATAACAGTAATTAATGAGTATGCCTGATATGAAAATTAATTTGTCTTTTTACCTTGGAGTTCACAGACACTGTGGCCCACTACCAGGGCTGCTCCTGTGACAGAGTGGCTTTTCTCCATGTGGCCTACCCGGGCGTCAGGAGAGGGACTCCTGGCTCGGTGCTTTTGTCCATTCCCTTCTCTGATCCTTAAGCTTTTCTCAACTGCAAACCAATTACAACTCAACTTATAATCATAACACTTAGCGTAAAAACAGCTATAAAATTTACATAGGCCATTCATTTTGTATAATTTTGCTTGCTCCTAATATTTTATCTATATATGTATGAATGTATGTATGTATGTATGTATGTATGTCTTTTTGAGCGTTTCACTATGCAGTTCAGGCTGGCCTTGAACTCACTTTGTAGCCCAGACTGGCCTCGAATTTGCAGCAATCCTCCTGCCTCAGTCTCCCAAATGTTGGGATTACAGGCATGAGCCACCATGCCTGGCTTATTTTTTTAGTTTTTTTTTTTGCTAATAATCTTTTGAAAATCCTAACTTTTATTTATTTATTTTTTTACAGTAGTGGGGATTGAACCCGAAGGCCTCAAGTATACTAGGCAAGCACTCCACCATTAAGCCACATCTTCAGCCTGTTTTTTTGGTACCAAGAATCACACTCAGGACCTTGCATTTGCCAGGCAGGTGCTTGTGCCATTGAGCTATGTCCCCTGCCCTTCAGCCTTTTTAAAATTCTTTATTTTGAAGCCAGGTATGGTGACACATATCTGTAATCCCAGCTATCTAGAACACTGAGGCAAGAGAATTGCAATAAGAATTCAAGGTCCTTTCTAAGGTCAGTATCATGGTAGAATACTGTTACAGGTTGTGTCTAGACATCCCCCAAAGCATCCTGTGGTCATAGGTGGGGCTTTTTCAGAGAAGGGTGGATCTAGAGTATATGACTGACTCACGGTGCGGTGCTAGGATTAAGAGTGTGAGTGCCATCTGCTCTAAGGGTGGACATCCTGATACAACATAACGGACAGAAAAGGGTTTGCTGCTAGTTACTTGTAGTTCATTGCTTGTTACTTGCTTTTGCTGTCTTCTACCTGCCAGAAACTGTTTCTCTTTTGTGCTGCTCCTCTGCCACACCACCCTGCCTTGGAGCCAGATAATTATGGACTGAAACCTCTATAAACTGTAAGCCAAATAAATCTTTCCTCTTTTAACTTTGGGTGTCAGGTATTTTGTCTCAGCAACTAAGACAAATACTGTCAGGGAGAAGATATCATAATGGACTATCAGAACTATTCCTTTGCCAAGGTCGGGAGTTGGATCTCGGGCTTGTGTGGGCTTGACAACCACCACTGGGTTTAGGAGCCAGTGATGCCCAGACTACAAAACCCACTTTTTTCAGTGCTAGTGATCAAATCCAGGGCTTCACACAGGACAGGCAAGTATTCTCCCTCTGACCTATATATATCCAGACCCAACTTATCCACTTAAGTATCAGGGACCATGTCAGGTCTTTGTATATTTATATCCTTGGATTTGTATACCCTGTAGGTATATGTCCATTCTTAGCCCTGTAGGTTATGACCATTTTGCAGAGCAGAAAACAAGCTGAGAGGTGTAATGGTTTACTTAGGGTCAGAGCTGGGACTTATCCTCTGGTCTGACTGTAAAGCCCCCATTTTTCCTTTACACCACAGGTCTCTGGGCTCTCCTAAGTTCCCTGTTGTGTACAAGATCTTAGCAGGCTACATGATTAGTTGTAAGATAGATTTGAATCATCATTTAGGGCAACTGCAAAATTCATTAGTCTAAAAAACTTTATCCAGTGTCTATACTAGTGAATTTCTATCTACTTATTTAAAATATCTGGCTTATTTAGAAAAGCAGAATACCAGAATCTCAAGTTGATGGAAGAAGTGTTTGTTTCATCCCACTTCCTCTTCTTGTGCTACCTTTATTTTCTCTTCTCTTGTTGTTTTTTTGAGACAGGACTGACTCAGGCTGGTCTTGTAGCAATCCTCCTGCCTTAGTCTCCCAAGGGCTGGGATTACACGCATGTGCCACCACACCCCATTTCCTTTTTCTTTCTTTCTTTTTTTTTTTTGAGACAGGGTCTCATTGTGTAGCCCAGGCTGCCCTCAAACTTGTGGCAATCCTCCTGCATCAGCCTCGGCAGTGCAGGCATTACAGGTGTGGCTATTATGCCCAGTTACTGCTGTGCCTCTGGAAAAAGCTGTCTGCATTTGCTTCTCCATCTCCTTGCCACAACCATTTTGTAATCAATACAGATGCTTCCACGCATCTCAGTCTAATGCACAAAATGGAGGCTTATTAGGCCGCTGTACAGTTGACTTTACACTGCATCTGACAGAACTGGTAACTGCTCCCTTCTTCAAACTTCCAACCCTGGGCTTTTAGTGTGCCACCCTGAAATTTCTCCAACTGTTCTCAGCCTCGTTGTCATCTGTTTTATTTCACTATTTATTTATTTTGTTTTTTTTCTGATACCGGGAATCGAACTCACGACCTTGCGCTTGCCAGGCAGGCACTGTGCCGCTGAGCTAAATCCCCAGACCCCCGCTTTTTTTTTTTTTATTATTTCACTATTTAATACTGGCCCTCTGGAGGGCCACTTTTTTCCCCTTTATTTTTTACTATTTGTGTGTGTGTGCGTGTGTGAGTGTGCGCGCACACGCGCCCGCATGCATTTTCCTGAGGACAAACTCACGGCTTCATGCATGCTAGGCAAGTACTCTATCACTGAGCTACATCCCCAGCCTTATTTTCTTTTGTTTTTAATTTTTTTCCCCCAGCTCTATTTTTATTTTGAGACAGGGTTTCATTAAGTTGCCCAGGCTGGCCCTAAACTTGTGATCCTCCTGCCTTAGTTTCCTGAGGATTATGATGATTTTATTTTATTTTATTGTACTTACATTTATTTTTTGGTGGAGGTAGGAAGGGAATCCTGGGCCTGGTGCATGCTAGGCAAGGACTCTATCATTGAGCTATACTCCCAGTACAGTCCATTTTTCAAAATTGTGGTAAATCATACTCTTAACAAAATTTACTATCTCAACTAGGCATGTCAACTCATGAGTTGTAGGTGACATGTAGTCCTGAACAAGTAATATAGCCCTTGCCAGGGGTGGTGGTACATGCCTGTAATCCTAGCACTTGGAAGGCTGAGCAGGAGCACTGCTGTGAGTTCAAGGCCAGCCCGAACTATATAGTGGGTTGAGGCCAGCTTACCATACCTAGTGAGACCCTGTTGCAAAAAACCAACTCCCTCCCCCCAAAAAACTAGTAATGCAGCCCCACAGATAATATACTTTTAACATTATAATCAGAATGATCTACCCATGATGCTTCAATTTTCAGTGGCTTCCCAATGCTCTTAGGATAAAGGCTTGAATCCTTCAATCCTCATGCCATTATACCTGCTCATCTCCTAAGTATTGCTGTGCCCCACATTATCCCACTGCCCTCTGAGAGGCCTTCCTTGATGCTCCCTGATCTTTTTTGTTTTGTTCTTTTTTGAAACAGGCTTTCGCTATGTTGTTCAGGGTGGCCCTGAACTCACTATGTAGCCCAGGCTGGCCTCAAACTCCCAGCAATCCTCCTGCCTCAGCTTCTACATGCTGGGATTATAGGCGTGCACCACCGTGCCTGGCTGATACTCCTCCTCTCTCCCCTTATTTTTTGTGCACACAGTCTTGCATTTATCTCCCTTTCTAAAGCTAATCAGAGTTGCAATTATTTGCTCAGTATCTATCTTCTATGCGGTCTCTAAGCTCCATAAGAACATGGACAACATCCGTCTTATGTATAATGCCTAGCATATACTAGTTAAGAGTGAATTTAGTAAGATTCACTAAGTAAGAACAGTAACAACCTGTCCTGGCTAGGTGTAGGGGCACATGCCTATAATCCCAGCATTTAGGAGACTAAGTTGCAAGTTCAAGGCCAGCCTGAGCTACACAGTAAGCTCAAGGACAGCCTGAACTGCATAGTGAAGCTCTGTCTCAAAAAGACAAAAAAAGACAAAAACAAAACAAAAACAAAATCTAACTGGCTGTAATTGATGGCTGCCTTATAAAAAACAACAACAGCAGCAACAAAATGCCTTCCTATATTTATGGGTAAAAGAAATAAGACAGCAGAATGGGCAGAGGAAATAGACCCGCTCTGTGGGAGGCAAGGCTATAAGTAGGGGAGGAAGTGATGAAGTGAAGCAGAGGAGGACCTTAAGTGACCCAGGACTAGAAGGATTTGGCTGCTTAAGTGACATGTAGGTTTTTGTTCTGGCTTTTGTGAGTAAATATGAGATAAGTATGAGCCTGGAGTATAAAACCAAGTATTGCTAGATCTGCACGGTAGATAATGCATCTGCCCCAGGTGAGAGGGATCTGCAGGTTCTGGGTCATCTTACATTTCACCACTGCTTGTCATGAGACACTTGCCAGAGTCCCCCTAGGAACCATGCTCTAGATCCAACACAGACCCACACTTGCCTTTCAAGGATGGCTCTGGCTTGCTACTCCCTAGTGTGGGACCCTGGGTGAATCAGTTTATCTTCCTGATCCTAAAATTCTCACCTATAAAATGTGGATAATCAAAGTTACAC